GTTTCTACTTATATCTAGTTTTTATACCCCTCGTTATTCTAGTCTCCTTTGGCTCCTCTCTCAGCTCATTTTTCCCTTTCATAGTTTACCGTTTCCTCTCTCTTCTCTCTTCTCGTTTTCCCATTGTCCCTCCTCTTCTACTCTAGCCAACCTTAACTCCCTCACTTCTTCAACATCTCTCTCTAGTTCTTCTTCACTGCTAAAGTTTTGCTTATAAAATTCCTCCGCCTTATCTGGAGTATCTATTCTAATCTTCTTGTCCTGCCACGAAATCAGTATTCCCTCTGGTATCAACCATCAAATGTTAACATTATATCTAGTCAGTTTCGTTGTCAAGAAGTGGTAGGGTCTTCGTAGATCCCTAACTCTTTTCGGCACCTGCTTTAAGACAATCAGCTGTTTCCCCCTGCATTCTAATGGCTCATCTCTCGCTCTGTGGAGGATCTCGTCCCTAATCGACTTTTTAACGAACCTAACATGAATCTCTTTAGGCAGGTTATGTCGTCTTGTGTAATTTGTGTGGATCCGATAGACCTCATCCATTTCACTCAGCATTTTTTCTTTCCCTATTCCCAGAGCTTTTGCTAGTAAATCCGCCATCATTTCCAATAGATCCTCTCCCGTCCTCTCTTATGTTCTGAAACCGTAAGTATCGGTCAGCTTTTTCAGATTCTAGGGCAATAACTGTTGCTTCTAGTTCTTTATTCGCTCTGGTTAGCTTCTCATTTATTTCTTCTACTCTTTTTTCTTCCTTTTCCATCCTTTCCTCCATCTTTTGTAATTTCTGTTCATTCTTTGCCATCTGCTGTTGGAACGATTCCAATCTTCCATCCATTACTTGCATCTGTTCTTTGAGAAGAAAACGGGGTACAATTGGAATGGTGGGTGTACCTGCAAATTCAGTCACGTTATAAGAAAGACAAAAAGGAATGGGGTATACGGAGGGATCTGACAACACTAGATAAAATATTATTAGGAACGGAGGAGAAAGCAATCAAAAGAACATATAAATATTTATTGGAATATAAAATGGAAGAGGAGCAGGTAAAAAAAGTGATGATAACATGGGCCCAAAATTTCGGATATAATATCGATTTAGACAAATGGCAAATGTTATGGGAAAGAAATAGAAAGTTAACCTTGGCCACCTCATATAAAGAGAATTTGTACAAAATGTTTTACAGGTGGCACTTCTCCCCAACAAGACTGGCAAAGATGAGAAAAGATATGTCACCACAGTGTTGGAAGTGCAAGAAAGTGTTAGGGACTTATTATCATATGTGGTGGACTTGTTCCAAAGCCAAAGAATTTTGGCGGCTAATAAAGACTTGGTTGGAGGAAATGTTGGGACTGAAGATAGATCCCAGACCAGAACTGTTTTTACTGGGAATGATAGATGGGAAGTTTAACAAAGGAGAGACATATCTAGTGTTGCATATTATAACAGCAGCAAGGTTGGTCTATGCCCAGAACTGGAAAAACGGAAATTCCCCGGTGGAGAGTGAACTAATTAAATTTTTTTTGATATGTGCAGAGATGGATAGACTAACATTAGAAATTAAAGACAAGGATGAAACAGAGTATTACAAAGTTTGGGATAAGATGTACTATTGGTTAGACTCGAGGAGAAAAAGTCAGAACAAAGAAAGCTCGTCTAGAAGAAAGTGTAGATTTTCAACCTCAAAGTGAGCGTAAGATAGAGATCAGAAAGAATATGAAATAAATAGACGTGGCATAACGGACTAATGCTTCTGCTTAACATGCAGACAGCCCAGGTTCGAATCTCGGAAGGGTATGTCTGACTGATGAAAACCAAACAAGGTTAGAAATAGCTATCTCAGTACTCCCTTAATTCTTTGTTAGCATTCCAAATTTTGAAAAACATATATGATGTCGCAGTTAAGCGACTGCTGCCTGTGGATGGCTTTGGATTGAGCT